ACACACACACACACACACACACACACACACACTCACACACTCACTCACACACACACTCACTAACTCACTCACTCACTCACTCACTCACTAACTCACTCACTCACTCACTCACACACACACACAGAACACACACACACAGAACACAGGATTCATATTTAAATCTAATTTTTGTGGCTTAATATTTACAGATAGTAGTCCTTATCACAATTTCATACCACTTTTGATAAATTCATCCAAAGTTTGACATTCCGTGACATTTCGCGTTATACGGTAAATTCCGTTTTTATGACTGAATTCCGCGGAATCATAGAGCCCTACAAGTGGCCTGATTTTAACGTAGGTCCTGTTATTGTGTTCCCACACAGAGCTGAAGATTCCCGACAATGCCAATGTTTTTTATGCCATGAACTCCACGGCCAACTATGACTTTGTCTTGAAGAAGAGAGGTTTCCCGAGAGCAGGCCGCACCAAACACGTGGCCAGCTCCACGCTGCCCCGAATGAAGCAGAAAGGTCTGAAGATCGCCAAGGGACTCTTCTGAACCCCAAACTCTTGTTGTGTCAGTACAGCAGCAGCTGGATGGCCAAAGCTCTGTGTCAGTACAGCAGCGCAGGAGATCTGTGTTTACAGTCATTCCCGGATCTCTAAACCCGCTCTGGTCTGTGACGTCTTCAGCTGTGTGCTGTGAACCACTGACCTCCGCTGGGGTCATCTGGCCGGTCACATGACAGGAAGTGACCTCAGTGTTGTTCCTCTTTACTACCGCGGTGGTGCTCAGGCCGACGAAACGTTTCTCTCTTCTTCTGTTTCATGCTTTCATTTCTCACACAGATGCCGAGTGACTCTGTCACTGGTGTAGTTGATAAAAGTAAAATGTCGTAATTTAAAAGTGAATTCATTTTCTTGCCACTGCAGATGGAGGAGGTGGTGTTTGTATAAATATGAGCAGTGCATAAGGAACAAGATGAACACCGAAATATGTCAGTTTCTAACGTGGTTTTAACAGTGCAGTCGCTCACTGTGACGCTAATCATTCACGTAAAGCTACACCTCGGTGGCCCACATCTCATATCTCCAGTCCCTGTTTCCATCGCTGCACACTGATGTGTGAAACCCCAACCATAGCATTTCAAATAAAAATGAAAGGTGTGAGGATGAGGGTTTTTTTCGAGTGTCAGCGGTCCAGAGATGTTGGCTGTAGTCGTGATAAACCTGCGCTGAGATCGGAAGAAGAGGGAAACAACTTCAAAAGTGAAACTGCACATCAATGAATGAGTTTTTGTACTGTTTTACCTGTAGTTCAGTGGTCGTTCATGACTGAATGCACATGCTTCACAATGCTGACCTGCCATATTTCCACACACTGA